GAAACACGCAGACAAGATGTCAAACAGACAGGGGCAACCAAAATTAAGATAGGGGCCCCTGCCCCCCCCCCCCCCTGAAAATAGTCTCAACTGTGATATTTACATATTAATGGGTGGCGCTATTTACATATAAATAAGCCACAACTCATTCTCCCCAAAAAATGTTGGCGTGTCGCTAGAGTGTTCAGGTTTCGCTTGAGGAAAAGGTGGCAACCCTAGTGTGTGCGTTTTAATGCACTGCAAGACCCGGAACAGTGTGCAGGGATGTCTCAAAGGACACTTCCCTTTTAGTTGTATTTTTTGTAATGCCAAGTAGTCAGTAGTCTTATATCTGCAACTTCCATTGACATAATCCCTTATGCTTCTGCCATGATGGTCTTGGTTCAGGCACTTCCTGTTATAGGGGGACAACTCTTTATCCCTGTCTCCCAACTGTGCTTCTGCATTGTCACCCAGTTACATGCTCCCCAGATGAGGACTACAAGCAGCCATGCTGACACATCTGATGCAGGCATGGTCTGCTGTTGACCCGCCCTGAAAAAATTCCATGCAGCCATCGCTGGAGTGCATGTGGCTGCAAAGAACAAATTCTTCTTGTTCCTGCCAGAGTCTTTGTAACTTCCTGTTCACTAAAGTCAAGTCTCAAAGAAAGTTATAAAGTTATAAGCCTCTGTATCTACCTCCTGTAAACTACAGAACACTTCATCCCTATCTAAAGGAAAAGAGGAGAGTGGGAGGTGGTTGTAGTCCTGTTCTAGGGTTAAAACGCAGGGGCATCACCATGCTGGGTGTCACCCGGTGCTGTTGCTGGGCGGCCCCTGGTAATGTCACTACGTTACATGTGATGTCATTACCCACACATGTAATGACATCAAGCACACTTCACTGCTAGCGGCCATCTTGGTGATGGATGCCGGCAACGAGAGGAGGGGACGTTCATCTATCGGGATAACGTTTCCTGCCGGGTCCCCTCCTCTCTCTCGTGCGGCTGTCAGCCTCTCGGTCCTTGATCGAGTGCCCAACTTTTCAAAGACTGTCAGTCATTTTGGCGCCACCCTCTGATGTCATCCGATGTGGGCCGCACCCCCCACACCCCTCTTGTAACGCCACTGTGAAAACGCTGCCCCTCCATAGATACAGTACAATGTGAGTGTTGTCACCCTAGGACAGGAAGTGTGCTACTGCCAAGATCACCGGGTGAAAATAAAGGGAAAAAAGCCTGAGAAAAGAAAAGTTAAGCTGGTGACAGGGTCTCTTTAAAGGTTGGACACCTCCCCAAAACTGAAAAGGATGATTTCAGCTATAGATGTCCTTTTAACTTTAGTATTTCTCTCCTGTCACTCGATAGAGATTTCGATGAGGAAGATGATCTATTTTCCTAATGTTACCGTGTGGTTTTGGACGCTTGCCATGCCAGACTATATAAAGACGGGGCAATGTGATTAATAAAATGTAATCATTGACAGGAGGTTGGCAGGTATTACAAGCTTAGTCATGCCGGTGTGCTTGAACTGTGTAACACTGATGTATTCCACTTTAACAGTGCCGCTGAGTGGGCTAAATCACAGAACCAACGCCCACTGTACATTACTGCAGGAATGCGCCGCACTGGTAACGGCACTGCTCCATCCAGCATGCTGGAAAATCTTTAAATGACCCAAACCTCATCCATCATATCCGGCATTGAATTGGAGGCAGGATAAGGCTATTTATATTTCCCCGTACCAAAGAATTAGGGATGAGGTTTGGGCTTGCCACTATCGGTTCATGGCAGATCCAGAGTGTTCAAAAATAGTCGCCCCGGTGAATTTATGGGCTGCTTCCACCACAAACAAATTTTAAGCACCGCATGGCCTTTGAACTATGGCCAGCAGGTTTAGATTGATGGTATTTTGGGGGTTTTCAATATTTTTTGGGGTTTCTTAATGTTTGTTTCATGTTGCCAGAGCCTTTTATAGGATTGGGGTGCTCAAAACTCAGTATTCACTTGTTACTGACCATCTGTTCTTGAAGGTGACCTTGGTTAGCAGGACACAGCATGCACCAAAACCATCTAAAACTTTAGCAGTCACATTCACTGAAACCCCCCATCCCAATAGATAAAATAAAAGTTAGGCATACACTGGTTGGGCCTATTATCCCTTGTTATATTGTTACCATGCACTGCCTGCAGGTGGCACTGTTTCATTTCTGGACACATGGTAAACTCATTATGGGACTTGAAATGTAAGTATACTGCTGAGAATTCCAGGAACTTGGTCAATGACATCAGTATTAGCAACGCCAGGAATCTGTCACTTAGTGGTAGGAGTGCAGCATGTACAGATCATTGGGGCCCTTTCCTGGCCACCCAGGCTGATACCCAGGATAAGGATCTGGTTGGCATATTAAGGGGAACTTTTTTCTTTTAAATTACTACACATTCGCCATACAAATTCAGTGTAATCACCAGAGCTCCATGGCAGCCGGGCAATGTGTTCTGTTTACACAGCAGGCTGTCAACTGACATCAGAGAGGAATGCCAATGTGTATCGAGACACGGGGAGAGCCGCACTCTTCCAGTGTAATTTGTAGGGCTGAGCTATGAGTGTGACAGATCAATCCTGCTCAGTGCAGGAGACAATGCAGAGGCAGGAGAGCCCCCCCACCCCCCTCCCCCATACTTATCTTGTCCTGCATGCTGGGGGTTATTCTCAGTATCTCTTCTTATTCTGTATGTATTGGCTCAGCACAGTGCCCCTTCTCTTGTCCTGTATGCCTGGTGTCATTCTCAGTATCTGTTCTTCTGTATATATGGACTCTGCACAGTACCACTTCTCTTGTCCTGTATGCCGGGTGTCATTCTCAGTACCTATTCTTATTCTGTATGTATTGGCTCAGCACAGTACTACTTCTCTTGTCCTGTATGCCGGGTGTCATTCTCAGTGTGTGTTCAGTTAAAGGAGAACTATGGGTGTGACGACACGGTGATGAGTTTTTAAGTTAAATGTGTATTGGTATTGGCTTATGTTTGAGTGCGTTATACTGAGTAACCTGGTTATGGAAAGACCATCAGCACCATCCCTCGTTATCTCCCATTGTTCTCTGAGGGAGCTCAGAACAATGACATTCTGGCCAGGCTCTGCTATGGCTGTCTGGAGCTCGTTAGCAGGGGAAGCCCTGTGGTGTTGAGCAGACCGATTGTCTGGGAGGGGAGGGTGGATGTGATGGGATTATATTCTGATCTCATCACTTGCTGTATAAAAGTTTGTGCAGTTTCTCAATAAACCGGAGTTTGTTTCACCTACACTCGAGCCTTGGCTAGTGACTGGGGAAACTGGGAGCATAGGATCTTCAGGTTGCAATATCTCCTCAGCAAGGAAGAAGACAGCGGCGGACATACTCATCCTGAGTACGGGGGTCCGTCACAGTGGGGTTAAGGCTTTTACACATAGTTCTCCTTAGGGTCACGGGAAGACACAAACCAGCGTCCTCCCGTCACCCAAAGCTCAGTATATAGGGAGCTACAGCTCGCGGTATACTGAGACGCCACAGCTGAAACGGATCCTGACAATTATGTCTGGATAATGGATAGATCAAGAAATGAGCGAGATTTGAAAAGGAGACAGAGATGCTGATTGGTTGCCATGGGCTACTGCTGCAGATTTTGTCTGCTACAATTTTGATAAATTCCCTTCAGTGTATATCAGAGGTAGACAAGCTTGGCACTACAGGGAGTTGTAGTTCCACAACAGCTGGAGTGCCAAGGTTGCCTTCCCCTGATATAGATATATACACACCCCTGTCAGTACAGGTTTATCTGTTAGCACTGTGCCCTATGTACAGAGCCCTCACCTGGGTTAATCTGTGTCCATTATTGTCTGCCTGCCATTTACTATTCAGGAATGACAGATTACGCAGCCTCCCCTCCCGTTGCATTGTTACTGTATTGCTCTGCAGAGTCTATATGCTTGATGCTGACACTAGTCACATCCATTCACACCCACTCCGCCTCTGCCTGCCCACCTCCTGACTCTGGGAAGGATCACAGCTCCTCCAGCATTCAGATCTGAGCTGCCTCTGTGTCCTCCTTACTCCAGGTGAGTTCTGTTGGGGTTCCATGCATGCTTGCATGCACACTGTGGGTCTATGGGCATTGCAGCTCCTGGGCACATAATGGCAATGTGGCTTCTCTTACATATTAGACAAAGTGCAATTATGGAGTGCAAGGTGCAGCCATCCAGAGAGGTGCAGAGTTCAGCTATCCGATCACTTTACCAATATCAGATCAATGGAGAATACGTTCTGGTCGGGATCCAGACAGTGTTGCGACGTGTGGTTCTGCATCAACTGGATAGCCATGCATTTCCTTTAAAACATGTTGCTGGATTACAGTACAAGCCCATGGCATCGTGTCTGTATTGTGTATTGGCCAATAATAGATTGTTTTTACTATTTTACCTGAGCTGAGAGAGAGAGAGAGAGAGAGAGATATCTATAATGCATCCATCTATCTATTGATTATCTAGTTATAGTGGCGCAGGCTGTGGCATACCTCACTGTATGTCATATGTACATCTGAAACTCACCAAAGTTACAAAGTAGGTCACCCTATAGAGTGGAATCCCAGATAGCAAGTAATTGTGCTGCAAGTTTGAAAATGACTTGCTAAACTCTTGCAGACTTGCCAAGCTTCACAATTTTGTTGCACAATTACATCAAGTCTGCAGACCAGCGAGCTTGCAGAGCTCTTGCTAGGACCTGCAGGACTCTTGCTGTAGACTTGCCAAGCAAATTTGCTACAAATTCAAAAAGTGTCGCCTAGAACTTGTGCTGCGAGTGTTCTGCAAGTCTACAACCTGCCAGGAATGTGTGCAGCAAGTTAACAAGAATTACAATTTAACCCTCCCACAGGTGTGTGGCAAGTTATCCTCGCTATCTGGGATGCTGTCCTCCGGGTATGTTTGGTAAACAGCCTCTATCTTGTCTTAGAAAGAACTAAACAACTTGAAACGAAAGTCAAAGAATCCTACAGCATGCTACAGTTTTTAGATATATAGATAGATAAACAGACAGACGGATGGATAGAGAATTATATAGTTCATTATGGTAATTTTGCATTTATGCCATTCTGATGAGGGTGGTGGATGGTAGTGAGATGGATAATTGGATCGATAGATAGATAGATAATTGGATAGATAGATGGAAGTGATGTGTACCAAACTCAGAATATCAGGGGAGCAGACAGTATGTATTATAAGGATCGAGATGGCAGTGAAAAGAGTGATTATGGCACTCTTTTCACTGCCATATTATCATCTACAACACCTCTGCTAAATGTATTGGTGTCTGTCCTGTCTGTCTGTCCTGTCTGTCTGTCCTGTCTGTCTGTCCTGTCTGTCTATCACTATCCATATCTTCTCTCTCTCTCGACTATGTTCTATGTTATCTCACTCACTCTCTCTCTATATCTATCTATCTTCATGGTTTCCCTCTTGCACTCCAACATTTTGCCTCTGCTATCAGGACAGCAATAACATGTCACAATGGTGGCTCCCATCCATTGCTGGAGACAGTTGACTCATGAATGCAATGCTAATTCACGGGTGTTGTGCCCCCCTAACAAGCCCCTCTTCTGGAAGTCAGCTGATGGTGGCTTTCAAAGCTGGATGGAAGCCTCAGCTAGTATAGGTTATAGCTGTTAGACGGGTTCTCTTTATTACACCTGGATGCTGCTTGCAGGAAGCCAGAGAAGGAGCCAGCAGGGCTTGTAGATCAGGTAGACATGGTACCATTTACTGGCACATATTTGCCTTTTACCCTATAGTGTGGGGGCAGGGAAGATCCAGAGCCTGGCACTGCAACACATAAGAATGACCAGTCTGTATGAGATAATAAATGACCAGACGAAGTTGTGAATATCTTTTACAAGTGTAAGGATGGTGACTGATTAACATACAAAATAACACACTATCCCCCTCCTCCACATTATTATTCGCATACAAGTCAATGTCTACGCATCAGTGACGTGTGTTTTAAAGATAAGTTGTCCGTACACCAATCTGCTTCGGAATATCATCGTTATTCGTATTTCTTTAGCATGACATGTGAATGCAACGTTCTGGAGCCTCACAGGACCCCATCCTCAGGCAAATTGTCATTTTTATTGCATTTTCATGCATTGGCAACAGTCCGAATTCTAAATTCAAAATGCAGCATTTGTATTCAGTTGCAGATTTAGGCAAATGGAGCCGCATAAGATAAACCTATTGAATGTTATCAGCAGCCCAGTCTGTCCTTTTATTATGGTGCATTTATAAAGGGTTGGGGGGTAAACACAGCCAGACACCGGAGAGCTTCCCCTGGCCATTATATCAGTTGTTGGAGACCTACACAAGAAAATTGTTAAAGGATAACTATGAGGTGAGTGCTTTTCACTGACCTCATAGTTCTAGCCGACCTGTGACAATGAGACTGTCACAGGTCGGCTCAGTAGATCGGCTCTCTGCCGTGACAGGGGGAGGGGCTGGATTCCCCTCTCCCTGCTCCGATCTGCCAGCGCTGACTGGCGGAACGGACGGGGGAGGTGGCGGGTACAGCTGGCTCTGCCTCTAGATAGGCAGAGCCAGCTGTCACTCACGCAGCTGGGCGGATCCCGTCGTCTAAATCGGGATCCGCTCCGGCTGTGTTGTCTCAGTATACCGCGAGCTGTAGCTCGCGGTATACGGAGCTTATGGTAACGGGAGGACGCTAGTTTGTGTCCTCCCGTTACCCTAAGGAGAACTTACCCTAAGGAGAACTATGGGGAAAAACACTGACCCCATAGTTCTCCTTTAATGATCTTCACTCCCTGTATACACCCCAAATACATGATAGCATTGACAATAAACACTGCATTCCAATGCACCATCCAAGGCTGAAAACCTGATCCTGTTATTATAGTGCGATCACATCTTTATACACCTTCACCATACGACAAAAGTATGTGGACCCCCTCCAAATCAATGAGTTCCAGTGAAGGGTGCTGTTTTAACAGGCAATGCACTCGTAGATTAGTCTATGGGCTGAGCGAAAAAAATCTTAACAGATTCCTCCATCCATGCAATACAGCCTGGATGGGGGAATCCCCTCCTTTCCCCCCACTTGACTAGTGCATTCTGGTAGTGTGCTGCTGTCAGTATAACTGGACAGTGACATCAGCTGATTGGCTGCCATCATTGTTCATCTGAGAATCTTCAGCTCGGATCCTTTGATCATCAGATCGAAGGATGTCAGATGGAAGGCTGCCAACAGGGCCACCCATGGAGCCAATTTCAACCAGATCAGACCGAAATTGGCTCTGTGTATGGTAAGCTTTACTCTAGCCAGATCCGTCAGCATTGGCAGACCTCATGTTTCTTTCAGTACAAGCTGCTTTGCCCATGAAGGGGAAGCCTAAGGGCTCCTCCAGACCGGAACCTGCAAGGGACCGGTTCGTGCGTAGCAGCCTGTTCTTACCTATGGGAGGACGTGGCTGCAAGCAATTACACATGCTCACATGCACACCTGAACCTGCACATCCCTGCGGGTCTGGGAGCCGGCACTTGGACACACACTGTCTGCGTCCAGGGGCGGCACCCACATCTGTACAGATGTGCAGGTTCAGGTGTGCACGTGTCCACGTGTAATTGCCTGCAGTCGCATTCTCCCATAGGGAAGAACAGGCTGCCACGCACAGTTACATTCAGCACCTCTCTCTTCCAGGATCGGGTCATTTTACGTGCATGCATGCTGTAGGGACGTGCACGCCCGTCTGAATTTCCATCCTGTTCATTGCGAATGAGAGGAGGGGGCGTTCACCAGGCAGGAAAAGGTATGACGCCGGGTCTCTTTTCTCGTGCAAATGTCCGGCTCTCGGTCCATGACTGAGTGCCCAACTTTTCAGAGGGGGTGACAGCAAACTGACTGTCAGTCATTTTGGTGTCACCCCTCCATTGGTGTCACCCGGGTGCGGGCCGAACCTCCCGCACCCCCTAGTGACGCCACTGCAGCAGCATCCATTGTAAGTGATTTCATCAGCATTTAAAATACAATTTGACTTTAATATTTATATTTGTTATCTTATATTTGTTGTTCTTTACCAGCTTTAGGAAGTAGAAGGCGGCAGCATGGCCCCTCTAGATGTATCCAACTTAATCATAGTCTTCGCAGTTAGATACATTTATCAAAAAATCTGCAACAGCTCTTATCTTTTCATGTCACAGTTCAGCAGATCATCTTCTCTCCTCTTCCCTGTGACGCATTGGAACTTATTTCTGCATCTTTATGACATATAAGATATTTAATTGCACTGTTTGCCGGGGAGGAAGAGGTCAATGAACCGCCCTAACCCTCGAAAACATCCCAGGCCAAATTTGCATGCCTTTAGCTGATTGGGCGAACCCCTAGGAGGCAGGAGCAGATGAGGTCTCTGATTGGTGGAAAGGAGCCAGCGCCCTCTATCACATAATAACTTGTTTGCTGGGCAGTAAATGTGCGCAGCGCCAGCATGACCTTGTGTTTACTGTAACTGTTACAGAGAGATACATTGTTTATGATGAGTGAAAGTTCAGTATTATTGATCAGAGGTTATGTACAGTAATAACAGGGCATAACCTAACCTTGAACTTGTGACTTGGACAAAGTGCAATAGAGTTGCCAGTGCAGGGAATGTTGTCTTCCCTTTGAGGCTAGGATCACACTTCGACGACGCGGATTGCCGCGCGGTCAGGAGTTGCCAAGCTGTGAACTGATCGCGCTGTGGGTGCCATTATTTTCTAATGGCACCACAGTCACGCCGGGCGAATCGCGCAGTTTTCTGCCCCGATTCCGCCCGTGCTTTCGAAAAGCCCTGTGTCGTGTATCGCAAAAGAGGTACTTGTACCTTTTTTCTGCCATTGCCGCACAGATGTCACCCCATTGAAATCAATGGGGCCACGCGGCAATCGCTGCCTGCATTGTGCAGGACCGCACGACACCCGGGACGCGAGTCCCGGGTGGCGTGCGGCGTAGTGCAGGTGTGAACCTAGCCTTAAAGGAGAACTATGAGGTGAGTGCTTTGCACTCACCTCATAGTTCTAGCCGACCTGTGACAATGAGACTCACAGGTCGGCTCAGTAGATCGGGAGGTGAGCGAACGCATACCGGCGTTCGCTCACCTCTCGATCCTGTCACGGCTATCTGCCGTGACAGGGGAGGGGCTGGATTCCCCCCCTCCCCACTCCGATCCACCAGCGCTGACTGGCGGATTGGACGGGGGAGGGGGCGGGTACAGCTGGCTCTGCCTCTAGATAGGCAGAGCCTGCTGTCACTCGCGCAGCTGCGCAGATCCCGACATAATTGTTGGGATCCGCTTCAGCTGCGGCGTCTCAGTATACCGCGAGCTGTAGCTCGCGGTATACTGAGCTTAGGGTGACGGGAGGACACTAGTTTGTGTCCTCCCGTTACCCTAAGGAGAACTATGGGGAAAAGCCTTAACCCCAGAGTTCTCATTTAAAGAGCTTTTCGGACCCCAGTCCGCACCCCTGACCGTCTATCTACAAATTAATAATGGTGGGCGCTCAGGTCCGTACACATTGCCATGGCCGCAAAGCTTCGCTTTGTTCTGCAACAAATTTTACTCTGCATGTCACATTTGGCAGGCGGTGTTGCCTAATAAATGTGCCATTAAAGTCAATGGGACCGCACCACAACCACATGTCAAGGGTTTGTTAGTAAAAATCCCAATGGGAATTTTAAATGTGAAATCCCCATTGGGATGGTAAAAAAAAACAGGAATTCAGGAGACCGCAGTATTGCCTTCTTGAACCCCTGCTCAACCGCTTCTGAAAAGCAATCCACTTCAGAATTATTATTATTATTATTATTATTATTATTATACAGGATGTATATAACGCCAACAGTTTGCGCAGCGCTTTACAATATAAGGAAGACATTACAATCACAATACAATTCAAGACAAGATGGTAAGGAGGGCCCTGCCCCTGAGGGAGGGCTTACAATCTAAAAGAATGGGTGGTAAAGTCTGCCTACTGTCTGCAAGAGGCCAAATGGCGACACCCTTCTGTCCTTGCTTTCTAATTGTTCTCCAGCATTGTCACACAGGCTTTTGCTGGAGACCGCATGTGGCCGTTTCAACGCACATGACACAGGCATGGTCCACTGTTGGCACCATCAGGAAACAGATGAAAAACAGAATTATATTGAAAGAAATGGCAATTGTTAATGATACTTTGTTTTAGCAAAGTAAATGGCATTCAGTTAGGGGGGACAATTGATTAATACCGGTTTGGATGACACAGATTTTCACCATTGAAAAGATCCATTGCCTACATACATATTTTTACTGTGAGGTTCTGCTTTGATTAAATAAATATTTATGACATCGGCCATTGGAGAGCTAACCCATGGTAGAGTGCCTACAGGCTCCAGCTTGCATAGCATGTAATGCTGCTCAGTATATACAGTATATTTAATATGACAAATAGGCTATTTACCTTCATGTCTTGTCTTTTTGTGTCTTTTCTCAGTTGGTGCCATCTACCAGAACCATGAGGATAGCAGTGATTGGCCAGAGTCTGTTCGGGAAAGAGGTCTACAAGGAGCTTGTAAAGGAAGGGCATCAAGTAGTAGGAATCTTCACCATCCCAGATAAAGATGGCAAAGCTGATCCGCTCGGTAAGAGATTAAGTGGTTCAGTAGGTAGACACAGCTGGGGTCTAAGGTTCAATTACCATGAGGGACACCTACTGTCTAGAATGTGTTCTTACTATGTTTATGAGGGTTTCCTCTTGTCTACTCTTCGCACAATCCAAGACATGATAGTAGAATAATCATCCTTCACCCAAATTGAATTTACTGTGTCTGTATAAGTGGCAGGGACATTAGATCCCAAGCTGCTCTGGGGGTTGGGGCCAGGTGTAAATGATTCTATGGTTTCTGTGAAGCCAGTGGTGGTCAACCTACGAGGTGCAGGGGACCTTGATTGTGGCCCCTGAAATCATCAAAGGCTCACACAAAATGTTCAGTACTGGTAATACTGGAGCGGACTGTCAGAAATTTGCAGACATACTAAAAGACAAGATGGCCTGAGACTTGGGATATTCTACAGGTTTGGATGGAGTCATGCTGCAGATGAATGTGAGGGGGACATGCTACATGGAGGCTAATTGAGATCACCCCTTACCAAATCAATGCACCCACTACAGAATGCTGGGGACCAAATGCTGCACAGCAAGTACAAAAGGACTGTATGTGGCCCTCAGGCCACAGGTTGTGCACCAGGACTGTAAAGCACTGAAGAATATGATGGCACCGTAATCGAAATGTAAAGCATTGAAGAATATATTGCACTATAAGGAATGTAAAGCTCCAAACAGTATGATGGCACTATAAAAAAAAAAATTTCTGATGGAAATTGTCATGTACAAACTCACCAATTGGCTATTTTGGGTCCTATCCATGAAGGTTATTAGTTATAAAATGTGCTACCAAAATACAGCAACCTAAATGCTTGGTCCATCTACTTTCAGTCAACGTGCGGTTATAGGAGGAGGCGACACCCATGGTATTATGTATCTCACATGGACTTCCTGCTCCTCTCCCTACATTGAAGAGTCTTGTCCTTTTATATTTCATCAGGAAGTCTCACTTGTCCTGACACATTTGAACCCAAAATAAATGGAAAAGAGGGAGACCTTCTTGTGATGGCTGTAGAATCACCACGAGATCCGTGCAACAGGTCTGGTCTATTCTTTCAGCAACTTGAATTAGAGCAATTCCGTCTTGTAGGTTCTATGTGGATTTAGGAATTTCCACACGCTTTCTGGGGTGCCAAATGTAGAATGTGCTCTGATTTGGGGGTGCCCTTAAATTACTGATGAACAACTGAATCTTAAATAAGTGTCGGGTTTATTTACAAATAGGGATATACATACATATTACAATTAAGGGAATTTGAAAGGGGAATTGGGGATAGGAGTTAAGGTTAAGGATCCTACAGCTAGCTACACCATTCTCTCTCTCTCATTCACACAAGCCATGGGTTTTTCTCTGTTCTTCGGACACGCCTCTCCAGCAGGTCTCAGCGAATCACATTCTTGATTGCAGAGCTCAGAAAGACTTGTCTTGTCCAAAGGTCTTGCTTGTCAGCTAGGTTAGTGTCACACAGGAAGAAGGTTCCATCATATGCCCCTGCCCCCACCCCAGCATATATGCCTTGCTGACACAGGTGAGGGCAGTAAATACCAGCAGGGGGTCGGGCTTGCCCCAGGACATGACAGTCCAGCAGATCTCCTTTGATCAGTGTCCAGCCCCAAGAACCCTTTGATGGTCTTCATTTGCATATCAAACAGCAACGGGCAGCTCACGATATTAAGGAACCTTTCCATCAAAGATGTATCCTAGATGTCAATTATTTTAGCTTCCAACAATGGCCTTCCCCAATGAGCAGGGCAGGTGCGCTGAGGTACCAACGCTTCAGTTCCTGGCAGATGTAAGAACCTGGAGAGTGATTCAGCTCGCCTTCCTTGACCCAAAACTGAAATGCCAGATTTGGTTGGACTGACCCAGTCAGGGGAATAAGATGAAGTGCAGCGGGTCAATGGGACATGTAATAAACTGGAATTGTTCCTTAGTAGGTCGGTGAACATGGTAGAGGACAAATTATTGTTTTCATTTGGTCTTGGAAGTAATTGTCTGAACGCTCTCGTGAGATGATGGAGATACATAATGGAGAAGGAGAGCATGGGATAAAAGTGGGATTGTGATGAAATGAAGGAAGATATGTAGGAATGGTTGGAAGATAACGGAGCATCTATAGGTTCTATTAAATGTTTGTAGTTTGGGTTCCTCACTCAATGTACTAACATCCACTTCCGTTCTGTGTGCCCACAGGAGATGAAGCAGAGAAAGACGGAGTGCCCGTGTTTAAGTTTCCCCGATGGAGGGTGAAGGGTCAGGCCATCCCAGAAGTGGTGGAAAAGTACAAAGCGCTGGAGGCAGAACTGAACGTCCTTCCCTTCTGCTCCCAGTTCATTCCAATGGAAGTGATCGATGCCCCAAAGCACGGTTCCATTATCTATCATCCCTCCATCCTGCCCAGACACAGGGGGGCGTCATCCATTAACTGGTAAGTGTGCGGACGAGGCAGCCAGAGGGGCATGAAAGATCCTGGTTGTTGTGGCCTAGAATGCCAATGACACCAGAGTGGCAGAATTATGGTACCAGAGCCAAGGATTATGATAGAGAATGCAGAGCATACTGCCATGACGGTCAAGTCACTGAAGATTGCTTGCTAAAGTTTTTAAAAAACAGCTTAATTATGGATTAGGAAAGAATTAAACAGCATTAGGCTTTATTTTCCAAGTTCTACCACATATGATATCCCAGTCAACTGCTTTATCCTTTTTCAGTGTGGTCACAAGACTACACCATAGAATATCCTATGGGAAGAACTAACGGTTTGGTTTCGGATAGTGCAGGGAATGGCTAAAATCCCTTTGATGTTTTTTGCCATTGGGGAAATTTCTCTTTACTTCCTGTCCTGGTGACACACCATCACTGGAAAGGTTTCAGCAACAGAGGCAATGCTGTCAATCCAGAAAGCAGTGGGCGGGACCAGTAGTTTCACTAGGGGGTGTGGGGGGTGCATAGGTTGCGTGAGAGAG